TTCCCTTCATAATTTTTCCACCTCTCTAGCATTGTCTCTGCACTGGCTACCATTGCTGGAATCATACTCTAGCAAAACAACACCATCGTGCAGTCAATTAGCAAACTTAGTCTTCAATTAATTGATTCTAAGGAAGTACCATAAACTCTAAAAACTTACTTTTAAGCTCTCTCCATGGAAGGCGTGGGTAGCGAGCTTTCGCATTTTTGCCCATTTTTCACCTTCTGCTGTTGTTGTCGCAAGTCCATCTCCTAAGAGCTTCTTCACAAAGCTTTCGCGCTCTGTTTTGGGATAAGCTTTGTCTTTGTTATTCAGTATCTCTTTGCATAACTCAGGCTCCGTGATGACCAATTGAGCCTTAGAACCATGCCACTGAAGATAGTTCTTCCCTGTTGATGAATGAATATGACCAAAATTTAACTTGGAACTCAGATTTCAAAACAATAGTTTAATTAAGACGGTTTGTTTGTTACCATATATCTTGGCCCATGAGTGAACGTGAGGTTGAACTACAGAAAGTACGTCGTGGGACGAACTCAAACTCTTAGGCTTGCTCATGGCTTCCTTGATCATGTTGGAGATGTCCTTGGTGTTGCCATGGATAAGTCTGTAAGGAGGGCCTTTGATGCCCTGCGAGGCCATCAGCTTCTGCAAGCGAGCCGGAGCCCACCATAGCCTGTGAAGGATCTTGATGAGAACTAAGACAAGGAGCAGACACAGAAAGCTTGAAACAGTGATTACTAGGCCTCCCAAAGAAGTCATCTTTTGGTATTGTCTTTCTCCGAACCTATGGGGTTTTAAAGAGTACGGTTATGGAAGTATATTCTTGCTCTGTGTTCTTAAAACGAATTATTAAGCCGCCACTTGGACCCTACTACATCACCTACAACTTACAACTTACTCGTGCTGGGTTCTGATTGTGCGCTTCAAATTAAGTCCTACTTTTGCCATGTTAATATATTATTAAATTAAATTCGCAAAACTCTCTTTATCACTCTGTTTATAAAAAATTTCAACTTAACAAGAAATCATTGAGCAAAGCTCCGCTGCGAAAAAAACTAATGGGGTGTCAGTTGGATTAGTTCGGGTATTTGATGTACTCCCAAGTGGCCATCGGTTCAAGTTCCCATGGTAACGTTTCATGAAAAGATGTTGCATTATAGGATTTCGTCTTTGCGTGGGCTGTCACTTGAGCTTAGCTCTAGTTGCGTGGGCTCGTTTATAATGTTTCATGAAGATAATATCTTGTTGGGTAATGCGGCAACCTTCTCTCTAACATTCTCTTTTGAATCTTCTCCATTTTTTCTAATGACATGTGTCACTTTTGTTACACTTAAAACAATCTAATTAATGTCAAATGAGCTATACATCCCTAATTAGTCTAGGTCAATTATTTGATTCTCCTAGATTATAGGCTCATAATTACATTCCTAGAATAGTTTCCTAGGGTATGTAATATATTCTTCCTATTGTTGTATATTAGAATATCAATGAAATATTATTTCACCCAATCTGAGATGGTATAAGAGCAGTTGATCATGACCGTCGTTTGACCTAACCCTAACAATCGCTTCCGCAGCAGTAGTCGTCATACAAACCCAACACTAACCTTCGCTCCAAACATTCATATCATTATCCACATCATTCAACAAGTATACAACCCAGCA